ATAATATGGATTCCAGAGCTGCACACAATACTTTAGCTGTGACCTAACCAACATTTTATACAGTTCCAACAAAACATCCCTGCTTTTACATTCTATGTCTCAACCAACAAAGGCAAGTTTACCATATGCCTTCTTAACCACTTTATCCACCTGTCCTGATATAATGAGGGAGCGGTGTACATGCAAACCAAAGTCCTTCTGATCCTTGGTGCTTCCCAGGGTCCAACAGTTCATCATGTATTCTTGTTTGTCCTGCCCAAGAATATCATCTCATATCTGGACTGAATTTGATTTGCCACTGATCAGCCCATCTGTATCCTCTTGTCCTCGTCACTATTTACCACCCCATTAAATTTTCTTTTGGTTGCAAAATTATTCATCAAGCCTCCTACAATCAAGTCTAAATCATTTATATAAACTACAAACAGTAAGAGCCCCAACACTCACCCCTGTGGCACCCCACTGGATACAGACTTCCAGTTGGAAAACCATCATCCTCTGCTTCCTGCCACTCAGCAAAATGTGGATCCAATTTGCCAAATACTGCCTTTGGGGCACAATATTGAATTTAACAAATTCAGAATGTGATCACCCTCCTCCATGTTGGTTACTTTCCCTGCATCCCTAGGTCCTGCATTTTTTTGCGATGTAGGATTCTTGCTAACTGTTCTTGTTAGCACCCTACCTAGCATTTATCTCTGTCTCGGCTTATCATCAGCAACCTTGTTTGCATATCCTTTCTCTCTCTCTCTTTCTCTGGGCTTTGCTTCCATCTGCTCTCTTCATGCCCCTCCCCCCATCAGCAGCAACATAAATATCATCCTGACCCTGCTAGTCTCAGTTCTGAGGAACAATCACTCAACATGAAAGATTAACTCTGTTTTTCTCTCTACAGATGCTGCCAAACCTGTCGTGTTTCTCCAGCACTCTCTGTTTTTGTCTCACTGAATCATACCTCATAATGTCTCAGTTACTGCTGTCACCATCCCTGGTTGTATCCTTTCCATTGGCTAGACAAATCCACCAGGGTGGTGGCGCCGTGGTATATAGTTGGGAGGAGTTGCCCTGGGATTTTTCACCATTGACACCATACCCATGCATTCCTAAGCACCAGGTCAAACATGGATATTGAAACCTCCTGCTGATTACCACTTGCCCCTACCAACCATCCCCCTATCCCATGTGGGGTCTTCAATATCTATTACCAAGAGTGACTCAGAAGCACCACTACTGAGCAAACCAGCTGATTCCTTAAGGACACTGCAGCAAATGATGAGGGAATCAACAAGAAGGGAAATCTTACATGGCCTTCTTCTCACAAATACACCAGTTGCAGCTGTGTCTGTCCATGACAGTTTCAGTAGGAGTGACAATCCCAAAGCTATTGTAGAAGGCAGCATGAAGAATAAGCACAGGCAGTCTGTAAAATTGAGGGGCCAACCCAGTAAAGCTACAACAGAAGACTTCATGCATGCCAAACAATAGAGATAGGACTAAGTAAATTCAAAACCAAAGGATTGCATCTACACTTTACAGCCTTGCCACGTTCAACTGTGACAATATATCATAATTAACCAGAGGAAAAGGCTCCACAGATATCTCTATTTCCAATAATGGGGATTCCCAGCAAAAGACTAGGATGAAGAATTGCGTCCACCTTCTCAGTGGATCATCCATATTGGCCTCCTCCTGAATTTCATGCAAAACAGTTACCAGTCTTCAGCCAATTTGATTCACTCCACGTAACATGAAGCAACAGCTGTAGGCACTGGATACTGAAAAGGTTATGAGCCCTGACAACATTCCAACAATAATACTGAAGACTTGTGCTCCAGAATTAGTCATGTTCTAAGTCAAGCTGTTCCAATACAACTACGATAGTGGCATCTATGTGACCATGTGGAAAATTTCCCAGCTATGTCCTGTCCACAAAAAGCAGGACAAATCCAACCAAGCCAATTATTGTCTAATCACTTTACTCTTTATCATCAACAAAGTGATGGAATGAGTTGTTGACAATGTTATCACGCAGCAAAATACTGAGATGTGGAAACTTGATCCGGTTCTCAAGTACTACAATCAAGATGTGAAGAGACACCTGGAGCTTTACTGCAGCTTTTGAGATTTTCTTCCTTATGGCCACATAGTTTGTGAACAGAAACCAAATTTACAAAGGGTTGTCAGACAACCATCAGCTCAGGGCCCTACACACTTCCAAAACCAGGTTTTCCAGAAATTAAGGACAATAAATTAATCTCTTTCTCAGTGAAAGTTGAGCTTGCCTATTTCCAAATGCATCTGACTTTCAGTATTCAGCAGGGAATCACAGCCCACATTATACTGTTCATTTCAGCAAGGAATCACATCAGTACCCTTCAAGGTCTTGCTTAACACTATTTTTAATGCAAAAAGTGTCCAAATACTTCAATATCTTCCAGTTTTCACAAATATAGATATGCATTCCCAATGCTTCCTCCACTATTGATGCACATTGGCAGTTATATGTACAACCTACAAGATGTATTGCAGTAATCAACCAAGGCCCCCTTGATACCACATTCCAACTCTGTGGCCTCAATTAAGTAGAAGGACAAGAGCAGCAATGCTTGGGAACACCACTATCCGCCAGTTTCCTTCAAGACATAACCATTCTGACTTGGAAAAAAATATTAGCATTCCTTCAATGTTGCTGGAACAACATCCTGGAATTTCTCAACAGCATCATGGGTATCCATACACTCCAAGGACTGCAGCAGTTGAAGGCGGCAGATCACCACTACCTACTAAAGGGCAATTAGAAATGAGCAACAAAAGATGGCCAAGCCAACAATACCCGCATCCTGTGCAGAGGTAAATTTTAAAAGCAGGCAATAAGAAAGATAAGCATGATAGCTTTTTTAGAGTGTGTTCTTACTTTAAACCTGTGCTCCAATAGATAGTAGACGTAACTGGGAATATTTGCTGAATATCTCTAGACTGAGGATAATGCTATTGCTACTTTGACTGAGACCAACTACTCAACACAATCAGCAACAATCGAAGTTTATCAGATGAAGCATTAACCTAATGAACCATCAGGTGAGTCAAATATTTGAGCGCAGAAATGCTACATGTAGTTTCCTGCCATAATTCATATTGGAGACCACATTAGAACCTGCAGGATGACAATATGACTCTTCTGCTAGAGTTATGAAAAGTGATTGGCAAAATTCCCTGGAGTTTTAATGTTCGGCCAGAATTTTATTTGCCCATGATAACAGGTTGGGAGGCAGGAAGTTTGTCAAAATAGTGCTACAAGGCATCTGGAAATTGTGAAATTGTCCTTCCACTATGCAATTCCATCAGCAGCAGAAAAAGAGTCAGATTGGCTGCCCACTGGCAGCCTATTTGAGCTGCTTAACTGTCTAATTAAAAGCCATTTCTACCTTCATGGGCATTTAGCCCACATAGATAGGGCCTATTTTTTGGGAGATAGCCAGCTATATTCTGGCATTCTCCCAGGGGACTCTGAGAGGGCTATACCTCCTCTGCTGACAATCAGTTGAGCAAGGAGTGTAATGGTCTAGACAGCAATAACCACACAATGGCAACAGTGCAGCCTTAACTCAGCAAACCCCAACCTTTGACAACAAGGTGCAGGGCTGGATGAACACAGCAGGCCAAGCAGCATC